AATTACACAAAGAAACAGTATAAATCATTTGTAAAAGTATTCTTTATGCCCAAGATTTTATCTTAGACTAAACCTTTATAAATATCAAAACGTATTTCCTTACCTTCTATGATTACTGTTCTTTTACTCCCCCACCCCTCCTGTCTTTGGGATTTGAAATTTCCAAGAGTGAAACTTGAGGAAAGGGTTCTATTTACTATCCTTTGCTTGAACAAACCCCTAAAATATCAACCATAATTAACCTAAAGGTTTTACCTAAAGTACAAATGAATGGGCCACAGATGCCCCAACTGCTCTCAAACCAAATCATATCCTATAACACCAACCCCTACTTTTCCTCCTTCTGAACTTTACCTTCTAGTGGAAAACCACAGCAGAGATGGGACCCGATCTATTTCGTCCCCCATTCTTTTCCAAGCACAAAATGCAGAGGCTGATTAGATCACCTCAAAAGTTCCTCCTCGCTTTAAAGTTCTATTATTACAGGTTTTATGTCCTACTTTTATTGATTTTTAAAAACTCATTACTTTCTTGCCCTCAAAAGGGCAAGACTGAGTTGTTTTGCAAGATCCTTTGAGGATTAACATTTAAGGTGAAAAACTTGATCACTTCATCAAGTGATCACTTGATCACTTGAGTTGTAATTAACTTCAAATTGAATTCTATTCTTTATGAAGCAGCCTGAAACACCAGCCCCAGCAGATGCCCCTAGAGGGTGGGGCCAGGCTGGGCTGGGAACTGCTGCCCTGAGCTGTGAGGACGGACGATCTGCGGGCATCAAGGAACCTCTCCTGTAGCTAACTTTGCAAGGATGTGACCTGTACTGTGCACCTGTTATTCAAAGTGCATCAAGTGAAGTGAAACAAAGAGAGAAGCCATGGTGGGTGTCAGGGGTGCAAGAGGAGCCTGTGGGCGTGGGAAGCTGCACCGGCCTGGGGTGAGACAGATCAGGCTGCTCAGGTGCGCTCGGTGAGGGCCCAGCATGGGGCCTCCAGACATCACTGCACCGTCCACTCTGGGGCTGCTCACTGTAAGTGGGGGCAGTAACAGTAACCTGCACTTTTTTTAACTGAGAGCTAAAATCACTTTCACAGAGCACCTAGAAGCATCACACCCAAGGGTCTCCATGTTATACAGCCAACATTTTTACGTATAAAGTGGACATTAGTGCAAACACCACTCCCCTCAGATAAACCATATACAGCACTATGAACTTACAAACTTAATGAAGTGGTAACAAATTCACTTTATACACGGATGGACCAGACAGGAGGGTGGAAAACGTGGGCTCTGGGTCACACAGCTGTGCTCAGATCCTGGCTCTGCGGCTTGCTAGTGGCAACCCTGGGTCTCTAATCTCAGTGCCTCATCTGAGAAAGGATCCTGCCAGCCTGAGACTCAATGAGCTGTGCACGAAGAGCCCTTGGAAAGTACTTGGGAAATGCATGTGGTCATGGAGGCCTCAGGGTCTGAAACTGGCCTCCGGGGGTCAGAAATCACCCTCTCGTTCCTCCGGCCAAAAGGAGGAGGCCCGAGTGCTAAGGCCACAGGATAAAGAGGCCGTTCCCAGCTTGGGAGAAAGTCCTGCTGTGCTGAGGCTTCCAGACAGGACCACTGGTGGAAATGCACTGGTGAGGCTGAACATGAAGAGAGTTTTGAGCAGCAAAATGTAAGGGAGTGACGGGCTGGCAGCAGCCCAAAACTGCTACTGGAAATAGCAACAGGCTCAGCCTTTAGGGACAACTGACAACTGATCTCACTTCACACTGACAATCAAAGGGGAGAAAAGTGATCTATCTATTCGAATTTATTTTGTAGGACATTTTGTCGATTCCTACACCTGAATCATCAAGCAGAGCATGTGGTTTTGGTAATGTGGGAGGAAAGTTAGTTTGGATAACCCAGCCACGTCTTAGCTGAATATTACAAAGCAATTTAAAAAATCCTGACACAAGTTCAGAAATATTTCCTTTAAAAGAAGCAGTTACAGAAAACAGTAACTCATGCAGCTGAGCAAGACTGTCATTTACAGCAGCTTACAACACAGATTTCCACTAGGAAACACCTGGAAGTGACAGAAAACAGCTGCTGATATGCATGACTGCCCTCATTCTGACCTCCCAGCAGGTGGGCAGGGGATGTGAGGAGACGCAACAGCAGCTCACCCACTCTTCAGGGGCTTGACTGTCCTCATCTATAAAATGGGTCAAAAACGCCTATTCTTTCAGTTTTGCTCTCCCCCTGCTTTTTTATTTTTTAAATAAGAATAAACTGAGAATGTATGCGGAAATAGAAATAACAAATTAAAATGAAACAAATGAACTTTAAGAATCTCACTAGTTATTGAATTAAATCAATAATTAGTTTCTAGACTAATGACTAAGCCATTGGTGGCTTTCTCTGACCCCAAAGCAAGTGAAAATAACTGCTAAAAAGACCAAGAAGAGTGCCAGGAATCAAGGCACTAGAGCAAGGCCTCAGGGAAACATATGAGATGAAAATCAGCTTCCCAGATAAAGGTAGAAATGCTCAATTATCCACCCCAGGAAATTCTTTAAGTTCCTTAAAAGAAGTGAATCATAAACTCAACATGTTTTTGCACCCTAGGAGCTCTGGTTAAATGGGGAGGGAGAAGGCGCGTTTTCAGAGCAGCAGTGAGTTTCTGTCTTCACTGACTGTCCCCAAGGCCACGGGGGACTTCATGGAAAGCCAAGCTCTGACACTTCTGTGTTTGGTCAGGAGGAGAAAGTAGATTTAAGGAAGTTTTTTGAAAGCTTGCAAAGAAATATTTACATCTCACATTGAGATGAACCATAAGAAAATCCATTTTAATCATTATGGCTTCACTACTTTTTCCTCAGATGATTTTTTTTTTTTTTTTTATTTTTTAAGGGCCAGGAGCAGCGTCAGAGCCCAAGGCTCCTCCATGGCTCATGGGGTTTGTCCACCTCGGTACCAGATGCAGTCACCAACATTAGTTAGAGCAGTGTTACGTTTCACAAAACAAGCACGAAAGAAACATGCCCAGTAACTGAAATCATGCAAGAAACTGAAAAAGCATGCATGTCATTCCACCACTGAGCAGATGGCATTGAAGTTACAGTCCACATTCTAGCAGTCTCCACCAAACAGAAGGAAGGAAGAACACTGAGAACTCACAAATAGTGCTCTACAGACTGAGGCAGTATTTTCACAAAACACTAGTCCCGACGCTCGCCTCTCTTTTAAGTAGCCACACCCAAAGTTTCCCTCGTAGATACTCTTGGGAAAATGGAAATGGGAGAAGAAAGCAAAGAATGGTGGATTGTGGTCAATGAAGGCACAAGAGCACTAATAACCAGGATGCAACAGGCAGAGTCAGAGAATCACGCAGAAACGCAGGAGACGGCACGCACTCCCGTGGAGACAGGCCCAACCGGGCAGCGGTTTTGTAAAGATCCTTTGCCTTTGACGGCCAGAGCATACCTTCACGCACAAAGTGCCCTTTTAACAGAAGGTTGTACAATCACTTTTCTTTCTGTCTTTTGCTTACATGATGTTATTCAATTTTAATTTAATGTGACAAAACACACAGTTCTAAAGAGAGGCCGATTCCCCACTACTTTGCTCTATATCCTAAAATACATAACAAATTCACTTCCATCAGGCATTATGAAAGACTTTAAAACATTATTGTGGTTAAAAGCAAAAAGTTCTACCGTACAAGTAATTCTGCAGAAAGGTTAAACGTTCACTGAAAGAAAGAGTACAATTATATACATTTATACACACAATTGTTACATCTTCCCAATATGAAAAAAATACGATCAGATTTTAATCGTTAAAAACTTTAAATAAAACACAGAGATGCCCAAAATACATTGACTCTGCTTGTGAACAAAGCCCAAGTAATGCACAATTTTAAACCCCTGAGAGGTGCTAAACAGAATCAGGGTGTGCATTTCACGAGGTAAAGGAACAGCATGGTGCGATCACAGTGAGGTGAGATGCCCAGACGTCCACCCGCACCAAGGACACACCCTGGGGGACTGTCTACAGGTGTACTTGGGTGACCTGGAACCAGTATCATTTCAGGAGGAAACACCCTTCATCTGGAGGTAGTTGTCTTTCTTTCAGCAAAACTGGCCTCCAATAGTGAAATGGAACAAGAAAGCCCAGCTATTGAACAAGTGAATGGGCACTCAAAACACATTATCAGGGCTTCCCTGGTGGTGCAGTGGTCGAGTCCGCCTGCCGATGCAGGGGACGCGGGTTCGTGCCCCGGTCCGGGAGGATCCCACATGCCGCGGAGCGGCTGGGCCCGTGAGCCATGGCCGCTGAGCCTGCGCGTCCGGAGCCTGTGCTCCGCAACGGGAGAGGCCACAACAGTGAGAGGCCCGCGTACCGCAAAACAAAACCAAAACTAAAACCAAACAAAAAAAAACATTATCAAAACGATAAACACTGATCACGAGCACACTAGCCTCAGTGTGGAGGCGAGCATCACACCAGGGCTTGATCGACCCTTCCCACGCTTCTAGTCGTTGTCTATAAAAACGCTCTCTACAGTGAAATGACTCTGACGCCCACGAGGACAAGCACTGCTCTGGGCCAGAAGCCATGTGTGCAGGGAGGGGATCACCCGGCGCTGCCCCATCACCCTGCTGTGCTACTTCCAGGATGATGCCAAAGGGATACAATTTTCATCTTCAGGCACTAAATTTTAATAATTAGTGATTCTCTAGAGAAAATCTTCTTCTCTAACTACCAGGTGTATTCTTTTCCTATGTACTGGAGATTTCTTCTTAAAACATGTAAGATAATTCTGACCATCCTGGATAAACATAAAATTACACTCATGGAGGAAATGCACATGTATCCCTCTCCACTGCTGCTCTCTTGGACTGGAGTGAAGTGAAAACACAGCAACAAGAATGGGGACATGGCGTGGGCGCGGCTGAACACAGCAGGATCCACTGCCAGGAAACGAGCACCCAGTGGGCCCTTGCGAAGGCACCTACCGGGAGGTTCCTGGCTGAGTCCAAGTACAAGATGAGCAGCGAGGAGGACAGCCCATCATCGGCTTGGTCTTTGTCAGCTCTGATGTCTGTCAGCACCTACAAGGAACGGAAAAAGCTTCAGCAGGTGGGTTTCCAAGGTTCCTAACTATTTCTTCCTGATTATGTCTGTAATCCTCAAGAAAATAAGAAAAGTGGAGAAATAAGCATCTGATATATGCAATACAGAGAGAATGAACATAAGATTCTATTCAGATCAATCAAACAAAGCACTCGGGTCACCTGTGGCTCTTCAAATCCCTATACAATAATCAAGCACAAAATTTAAAGATCTCATAGAACAGGCGAGAATGACCTGTAAAATTCCATTATCTCTAATTTATCCCTGATGCTACTGTAGTGATTTACAGCACAGGAGTCAAAATTATTGCTGTATTTTTTTTAAGTGAGCAGCAGCACAGTTTAAAGGTACTAATCTTAGCGATCAGGAGTGCAGGCTGTCATGGGACCCCATCCAGCACCTTCTCGAGGTTTGAAGCGTCTGGCATGAGCGTGAGCCACTCCAGTTTCAAGTGCAGCTTTCCTCTGAGGACCTCGTCCAGGGTGAACCACTGCAGAGAAAGCAAGACAGTTCAGCCAAAGTCCTCCTGGATCAGACACGCAAACTGAACAGTCTCCACAAACGCAGAAGGCCTGAGTCCTGCCACCTTTAGCTCCAGGCCTGAGAACCAGCTGCTGGCCCCAGGCACTGACAGCAGTGGTCGCTTTGCGTGTGTTAACTCACTGACTCCCAATTCCACCCCCGATTCACACGCAAGGACTCAAATGTCCTCTTATACCACCCAACACTGTCAGGCTTTTACGTATGGACTTCCATAGAATTTATGGGCCAAGAGAGAATATAACATTGATCCCAAGTCTGAATTTCAATATCAGACACATTAACAGGTCTGTTTTTCCTCATCACTATATACTAATAATTAGTATACACTTGTTTCCGCTTAAAAGCCACAAAGCAATTAATCGAGGATGGTCCCCAGACAGTATTAAGAAGAGAGTGCCCCGAGTGCAGGGCTTTGTCTGCTCTGCCCGTCACTGCACACAGCACCTGGCACACAACATGATAAACTGCAGATACCTGTTGAGTGTGTGCTGACGTGCATGGGAAGGGAAACATGTTACTTTGAAAGCAGATCTCAGCTGTGATTTGGTTAATTACGCTTTACTTATCCAAATCTTACCCATCTTTTAGAAGCCACCACAAACTTCCTTTTTTATCCTTTTTATTCTGATAGCAATATCTTGCTTGAAGCACGTCTGTTGTTGTCAATTCACACTGTATTTGTGGGTATCTTTCATGGGACAATTTCTCATCAACTGCACTGTGCCAGCTCTGCTGTGAACTCCAACTATCTTTAAAATGCCTGTTATTGGGGAGTTTCTCCCAGATTCTGCCCTGACTCCGAAGGAGAGCGTGCCTGCCTGAAACAAAGTTGGTGTGTGTTTGGATCCTCAGGAATTTCGAGTGTCTGGTAGGTGCTGACTTCTTTTCACTTTGCTGTTACTAGAAGGCCTAAGTCCTCAACGTCTGTGAGCGGATGTTAAGTTCTCAGACCATCAGGTGGCGGTGGCAGCAGGTGCTCTGTCAACACTCATGAAATAGAACAATACTCAAAGGAAACTTACTTCATCTAAAAGGCGCTCCTTTTCAACTTCAATAAGATCAATCATAAGACTATAGAAATAACAATACAACAACTTTAGAACATAGAAACACACTTCTTACAACTGAAATAACCTTAAGCATTAGTCTATGAAAAGGTACTCCAGAAATGCAATGAAATGCTAGTTTATCAAGAAACAGACTTCTTCCAAAAGCTTCCCCAAGCTTCCACCCACGAGAGTGAAGCGAGGTAGGGAAGAGC